GTTTTAACCCAAAGGATTAAAACAGTATCACTGAAGGCAACTTTTAAAATAAAGCTGTTTTTCAAAAAAAAAATACTGTATGTGAAAAATGAAAAGCAAAATGGCATAGATGGGCAACATGGTGGAGACAGTGATGACGTAACAGTGTAGTTGATATTAACTGTGAAATATTGCGTTTTGAATTGAATTTGGTATGTTTTTAGGTGTCTTCAACTAACGCAGAAGAAGTGGTTTGATTATACGATATTATTGTTCATTGCTATTAATTGTATCACTTTAGCAATGGAGCGGCCATCAATTCCTCCGAAATCGTTAGAACGACAGTTCCTTTCATTTACTGGATATGTTTTTACAGTTATTTTCACCATCGAAATGACTATGAAGGTTTGTTACTGGTGCAGTAAGAGAGTGAAACTGAGCTCTATACAGTTTAATGATACTTTAATGTTGGCTTTACGAGCATGCTAATGACTCAAGTCGCCTTTTTCTTCTTTCTTGAGTGATTCGTGGGGACAGAAACCAATGGCATTCTCGCCAGCGAGTGACTGATTAAGTGAAAATCGCTATCAGCTGTACCACAGATGAGTAGCACTGTCCCATTTAGTAAGTCAAATATGGAGATATCTTGAAATTCCTACTAGAACTAAACATATCCGTTTTAAGTGCAACAGTAACAACCACTCGTTTTGTTTACTTCAGCAAACGTATGGGTTTTCGTAATAATACGCTTGAAAAATACTGAATTTTCCACACTGACTAATAAATGTCAAAGAGACTCTGACACAGTGTATCGTAGCTCGTCCGTGACAGCGTCAAAAAAACTGCAGCCATTTCATTGTGGAAAAGAGTTGGCGATAAACAGCAAATTTTCCGAAGAGATACAAAATCAAGCTGTGAAAAGAGCAAACTGTTTTTTGGACGAGCGCAAACCAGTCCCAGTACCATAAAGCAGAAGCCAAAACAAGTAAAAAAAAACGAGGTGGAAATGGTGAGGCTGAAGGAATGCGAAAGTGCAGCGGGGAGGTTCTGGACAGACCAGTGACCAACAAAACAGCAGCTGTGCCAAATTTTATGTGCTGAAGAATATATGCGTTGCGATGAACTTGCGCTTGAACTGGATGTTGGAAGTTCTCGACCAGTAGATTGGTTTGTAGATATGGCTGTTTAGGTGGTTGCAAACGGGTGCTTGCTGGGAAAAGACGCTTACTTCAAAGATGGCTGGAACATACTCGACGGAGCACTTGTCATTATAAGCCTTATAAATGTTGCTTTTGAGCTGTTGGTCCGTATGGGTCAGTTTTTATACGTTTTTTGCAGCTAAGCAATGCAAAAAGCGCATATTGACAAGCGGTTGTCTGCGTGTGTTCGTCTGTACTGATTTTCCATCTCGAGACCTAAAAAAGCTACGGGGCTGAAATTTTAGGAACTTATTCTACATGCAAGTACGCGCCCCCATCCCCAAAATGGGCGTTCTTACCTGCGTGGTACCCACATACGGGCCCGCCAAAGTTTTTTACGGGCAAGCCGCTAACTCGGAAACCAGAGAAGCTGAAATGCTGAAATTTAAAGAAAATGTCCCCCGTCCATGCAAGTATCAATGGGCTCAAAATCAACCTCCGGGATTGCGTCATACCCATGTAGGGGCCCGTGAAAGTTTTCTTCGGGTAAGTTGCTAGCTCGGAAACTTGAGAAGCTAGAAAACTGCAACTTTGAGAAAATTTTCCCCGTCCACGTAGGTATTAATGATCTCAAGCCCAGACAGCG